AGATTTCTGTAGGAGAGTGAGCCATCATGAGGGCCAGAGGGAAAGCTGGGGAATTATGTATTAGCATTCTCGAAAGGCCTTCACTAGCCTCTTACACACTCTTAACTGTTTCACTGTGGACTAAGGAAGCGTAAAAAGAGAAGGAACCCCTGGAACCCCTTCTCTCAGGGAAGTCACGTGATAATTCATGGAATTATTAGTCTGAGGGAATGTATTTAAGAAAAGATAACCTTACTCATACCAAATAACAGTAACTGCCATTTGTGGGCCAAAAATGGATGAGGGCCCCCATGCCAAAGGCTAAAGAATGAGGGTTGGTAAATGAAGAACAGAACTCAGGTCTACAGAACATAATGCCTTATCTACCTCTTTTGCAAAAACTGTATTTTGGCCACTTCTGAAGGGACAACAAAGGCAGGAGGAGAAAAAAAAAATCCAAAATCTGAGAAACGAAAACTGAAACAGAAGTGACTGGCTAAGAGAAGCTGCTCCATGAAACGCATTTTTAACATGAGGGTTTGGCAACCTAGAGTCGTGCCAAGCAAGAAATATGTTTAGGTATTTAATATGACAATGAAAGAAAGCAGACACGGCGCTGAACATCAATTCTAAAACGCCACACCTAAGAGGCTGCCCATGAAGCCAGAAAGTACAACACTGAGGACTGAAAGAATGACAAAATCTTAACCGAGAAATTATAGACTTAGGAAATTATCCCAAGAATTATTATACTAGAAAACTAGGGCACCGGTTATAAAGCAAAGCAGAAAAAAGAATCCCCTAGGATGCCAAAAGCCTATTTCTATATAAACAGGCTTGCATAGGCTACTGTAAGGCAAGTTTAACCTTGCAAGTCACTGACCTTTAATCATGCTTGGATTTGTTCCCAAGAAAAAGAGTCAGTTACTCAGAAGATTCAAGGTAGAAAGTCTCCGAGTGCTAACACTTGCCTAAGTGGTTAAGGTTAACCTTCTGGACAAATATTTTACCTGAATAGTCTTATCCGCTTCTGCCCATCATTCAAAATACTAATATCTTCCACCTCCTTTATTGGATATTATATTTTCAATTGCCTGATCATTCCTGATATCCCCTTAAATACATAAAGAGAACAGAAGAAAGAAAGGGAGGGAGGAAGAGGAGGAGGATGGAGATGGGGAAAAGGAGTAGGGAGGGAGGGCATTGGTGAATACTGACTCGGTTTATCAGGCCTCAGCTTTTCCGCGTAATCTCCAGACAAATCTGAGAGATTAATTTATACACGGAATTTGCCCAAGCTCTTCACATATATGATACTCAGATGAGCCCCTACTGAAAAGTTCAACAGTGAAACAGGACACCTCAGTCTCTGATCTGCAATGACTTCCTGCCGCGTCAGCTTCCCCAAGTCCCTCAGGACCCTTGTGAACTAGAGGAAGAGAAATCTGATTGCAAATTCAGGTGACCACGTACTGCTCTGAAAAAAGTCAGACATTCCTTTGAATTATCTGCACCTTTGGTGTCTACTTAGATGGAGATTAATTAGCTGTATTCTGTCCTAATGGGTTTGGCTATATAAATATATGTGAAGCTGTGCTGCACTGACCACCTACTTTCACCAATAACAAAAATGTCTTTCTAAATCAAAATGCAATTAAATTAGCACAAAGGTTTCCTTTTTGACCTCTAGTTTCATGAATTTGAAATCAGAGTTCTTATAGATATAAAAATTATTGTGTCACAACTATATTAAGTATGGCGCAATGTTTAACAAGTTATCGTGATGAATATTCCTCTTTGCATAACACTTCATTTTGGTTCAAAGAGAAGTCTGTGAGTAAGGGGTGAAGATCAATATTAATAATCTATAGATACTGACAAGATATTGAGAACATACTAAATACCTAACAGTGGTAATCCACCCCAGTGATAAATATTAAAAATCAGGTATGACCTTTTTCCTCAAGGACTTTATATTCTAATTGGGTTTAGAAAAGATGAAACTACTTTGTAGCCATTCCACTCATATCAGATATAAAAGTAACTGCATTTCTCTTAGTCTAGACTCCAAATAAACCTGGATGAATTTCTCTTATTTGTATTATATTTCAAAGAAGGCCTCCAAAAGGCTAAGACTGCAGTAATCATTTAATACAGCCAAGACTCTGCAGCTAAGAAACTCGTAATCAAGTTGTGGATAATCTTAACAAACACATTGAGCCTCACTGAGCATCTGTTTTCCAATCTGTGCAATGGGCAGATGAACGAATTCCACCATATGGAAAAACTGTTGTGTTGAGCTGAAGTAATGCATTCGAAAGCACTCTGAAACCATAGAGCTACCTGACACCAAGGAACTGTGTGGTCCGGGGAATATCAGGGGCCTTGTTAGAAAAGTTCAAAAGGAACACTTTATTTCAGGGCCCTGACGTCCACTCTGCACCTTGGAAAGGGCAGAGCAAAGGTACCCCAGAGTTTGGAGAGCACCCACTTCTTTGCTTTTGTGTGGCCATCTTTCACATATCTGTCCCCAACTTTCTTATTTTAATGGCCCCTTTTTTGACTCTTGTTCGAGATTTCAATGTGCCATTTATTTTTCTGTTATTACAACCTTTGTTTTATACTGTGCCAAAAGAGAGGCACTAAGATTTTGCCATTCTTTAGCCAAGCTGGCAAATTAAAGCCTTTCATTTCGCTAAATTAAAAAGCAGGGCTGATCATTTAAAAAGTGATCTCAGACTTTGGGCAAACTTCTCAGCCTTCCACTTGGGCCACTCTTAGTTCACTTTTACTACACACACACACACACACACACACACACACACACAGACACGTATGCCTCTTGTACTCAAAGACAGGGAAGAAACAAGATTAGAGTAATAATCCTTTCCAAGTTGTTTTTGTTGTTTTAACTTTAACAGTTATGTTCAGAAATCAACGTGTAATATAAGAAAAACAAGAATATGCTATTAAAGGCTCTTTTCCTTGCCCTAAATGCTTATTTGCTGAGGAAAGTAAACATTTATTGCTTGAGGTGTTTCAATCGTTTGGTGCAACTTCTGAAATTTTAAAACTGAAAGCATTCATAAATAGAAAATAAGCCACTAATGCTCACAAAATCTTCTGGACAATTTCTAATGTAAGATAAGCCTGACACAGCCAAACTGTTGAAAATGTCTTAGCTAACTTTTGACACTTCTTATAATGTATTCATATTTGAAATTAATGATGCTTCAAAGGCAGACACTTGTACTTCGATTTGTAGAGGAAACTATATGTATTTTCCTGAAATTGGGCCGATGTATACACATGCTCCTGGCTGAATCTTTCACACAATGGAGCCGAACAGTTTTCCTAGACAATCCTTAGACATAAAATACTTCCTTTCCATCTTACCTAAAACAATAAAGCACACAACCTGCACCCAGTTGCAGATACTATTCAAACAAATGTCTCAATAAACAGTATGTTAAGGGAGTTGCACTGAGTTCTGCTTGCCCAGCCACTAGTCACCCCTGGCAGAACCGTGTCCTGTCCTGCGAGCCCTCAGGGAAAGCCTAGTGGGAGGAACTGAGTGTTAAAGGTCAAAGCAGAAAATTTTAAAGCCCAAATTGAATTAAATCAGAACTTTCTGTTCCGGAATGACCAGATCCTCTTAAGCTACTCTGAGTTGTAAGTATCTGCAGCAAGAGAAAGATCTGAGAAGACGCACACACACACACACACACACACACACACACACACACACACACACACACACACACACACCCCTCCTGGTCAGAACCCTGTGTCATCAAAGGCAGAAATTAAGGAGGGAGTTTCCGGCATTCTCCTTCACTCGTGCACACCTCTCCTTCCTTCTGGCCCAGGAGCGGGTGGGTGAGGTTTACTCAGCTGTGGAAGGAAAGACCTCGCAGGCGCAGGCCGAAGAGCCCGCACACCTCCCGCATGGGCCGGGACGCAACCCTTCTGGCACTGCCCACTCCCTCTTCAACGCTCACTCTTCTGGAGACGGGACAGAACGTGCCCTCCGGTTAAGAAAACTCGACTGTAAACCTGCTGTAAAGTCCGTCCCAACAACCCCTGTAACCTTCCTTCAGAAGTCAGCCGCGAGTCCCCACCGAATCCGGTCACCGCAACCGCACTCGAGCAGAGCCAGGGTCCGTGCGCCCCTGGCGCCCCGCAGAATCCGCGGCGGGGGCTGGCGTCCTGGGGCGCGGCGCTCACGTGGTCTCCGGCCGCCGCCCGTGCAGCGGGACCCGGGGCTGCGAGAGGGAAGCGCCGCCCCGCACCGGAGTGCAGACCCGACCTGCAGAAGCACCGGACGCGCCGAGGGGAGGGAAGGTCCCGGGCAGCTCGGGAACCTCGGCGACCAGAAGCTGAGCTTCGGGCAGCGCCGGTCCACCGCAGCTCCCGGGGGTGTACGCAGGGAGGAAGACACAAGTTTGAATGGGGTGGCAACTTCGATTTTTTTTTTTTTTAAGATTTTTAAGCGGACAAATGCATTTAAATCCCACTAGCGTGAGAGCTTCCAAGGTCATCACAACCCCTTTCTCTCCAGGACCCCATACTTGAAATGCTTGGCAAACGAGGGAGTAAGTGTGTCCCGAGGCAGCAATTCCACCCCCACCCACCTTTTAGGGAACAAAGAGGAGGTGTTGTCCCCTCCGGGCATGAAGCCGGTTGAGTGTTGGTATTTAAAACCTACGGCTGCCAGCTGTGTTTATGGCTGGTTTCGTTTCGCTGGGGGAGGGGAGGGGAATCAGAACTCTATCTAGGACCTTTTTTTTTTTTTTTTTTTTTTTCAAAACTGGGAGCCCGGAGCTTGGCATTGGATGCCACTAGCACAGAACGCCAGTCCTCTCGGGCTGGGGAGGGAAGGGAAGAAGGGGAAGGAAAGGAGGGGCGGCGGCGGGGCTGGCAGAGGAGGGACGGGAACAGGTGAGCTCCCACCGCCACCCACCGACAAGCCAGCGCCGCGGCCCCCGGCGCGCCCCGTCCCGTCCCGGAGTAGCACTTACCCGCTTTACAGGGGTCCTTGTAATCTATCATCTCCGCTTTATCCTCTTCGTTTCCCTCAAGAGTGTAATCATAATCGAGGCCAGCGCAGACCCACAGTTCCCCGTAGACAATAATCCCCAAGGCCGCCAGGCACGCGAGCATCCTCGGGGAAAGCGTTTCCAGCCCCATCCTCCGGCCCTGGAGGAAAAGGAGGGGGCCGGGCCGCGAGGGGAGGCGGCCGCGGTCCGCGCGGATGTGCCGGGCGAGGGGGACCGGTGCCCTTCTCCGCGCGGGGAGGCTGCTCGGCGGGACCGGGGTGTTCAGGTGTCCGGAGACATGCGGGTGCCGTTGGGACAGTACAGGGGGCGAGGGCTGCCTGTTACCCCCAGTTGCAGAAAGAAGTTGGAGAGGGGCCCGCGGGTGGTTGGAGGGCAGGTAAGGAGCTCGGCTCCCGGAGGCGGGGAGGGCAGCTGCGGGCCAACTCGCCTCTAGCGGAGCGGGCGCTCGCACCCTGCCAGGTCGTCCTTCTGGCGGCCGAACTCCCCACGGCCGGGGCCGGGCGAGCGGCGCCCCAGGGGCTCAGCTGCCACCGGAGCTGGGGCTCCAGCGCCGCGCCCACACTGCTGCCGGGACCCAGCGGCCAAACGCGAGCCGCCGCCGCCTGCGCCCGCTGCCGCCGCTCCGGGAAGATGAATCCGGTCTGCACATCAGCACATCTGAACTGAAAGGGGAGACCGAGGAAGGGGGTGGGGGGCAGGCATGTCTACGCCTCGAGACCTTAAAAGCCTGCAGAAGCCAGCAAACCAACTGACTGCAAGGAGAGCAAAAGTGTGAGGACCGGGGGAGGCAGTGTTTGCCTCCCCCACCCCCCAGACAGTCTTTTTACCCTCTTCCTAACTTGAAAAAAAAAAAAAATCTTCTCCGCATCTAACCCAATCACTTGCATCCTGCTTACTTATTCATACAATCAGGGTCAGGATCCGGGCCACGGCCTCCTCTCTGACTCCTTTTGATAGCCTTACACAAACAAACAGACACGAGCGCACTGACAATTCCATTTATATTTTACCTAAGATACAAATGAATATATTATGCATCTGCGTCCTCGAACAGCAATTAATAGATGATGTACGTGTCAGTCTTGAGTGTCAGACCGGGGGTGGCTTGAGGGATCACGATAACTTAGCTGCAACGTCTGCTTCCCCCCCGCCCCCCCAAATAAACAGCGAGTGTGTTTCTTTCCTTCGCTGCCGATTAACCAAAGTACAGCCCAGGAATGGACAAAAAGTGTCGGAGCCTCCGTGACTTGGGTAAGAAAACAGTTTATAAGTCCTTTAAAATTCCCCTAACTGAAAACTTTTGCGAACAACTAAGATCCTCAAAACTGCAATTAAAAAAAAAAATCCAAAGTCAAGTTACAGATTGCAGCAGCAGGAAACGTTAAGACCCTACTGATGGGCTGGCGCTACGGCTCACGTGGGCGCAGGAAGGGAAGTTGGACGGAATACTCGGGAAGCAAATTTTCTATGACAGTTCTGGCGCCCATACCCAGAGTTGCTCAGTATCCTTGGGCTTCAGTTGTTTCGCTTCAGAGGAGAGTGTGTAAAACCTGGCAGGAGGATCCGCGAGGTAAACCGCATGTCAGCCTCGCAGACACAAGACAAATAGAGGCTCTGGGAAATTGGGAAGGGGAAAAAAATCAGAGAAAATCTCTGCAAAACCCCTGGTGGGAGCATTGCCCACATCTGCAAAGTGGTTTCCCAAATAGGTGAGAGGACGTCTCCCCGAAATTTCCAGGGGTGACGAGCACCTTCCCTTTTCCAGCCAAATCTTGAACTGCCACTCCAGTAGGGACTTGTAAAAACTCTTCCATTGCCTTCGCATGTTTATTCAACATTTAAATTTCCCCCCTTTCCCAAGGTACCATCAACATACAGCCTCATCTAAAGGGAAATATGAAGGTAACCACACACACGATACACCTGTGACAGGTAAACCGGGTCTTTGGTTAGGGGATTTGACCGGTTATATGTTTGTTGAAGGAAAATTAGAGGCTAATCTTGAAGAAATATCAACTATTTCCAGCTCGAACTTAAAGTGAAAGGATGGAAGGACCAGGCTGACCTAGTGGCGAAACTAGGGTTTTCTCAGTGACACAGCTTCCTTTCTGTAGATCTCAAAAAACTTTTCACCCCCAGGTCACAGAGCAGAAAGCAGGTTCAAAAAGAGTGTGTTCAATAAGCTGATAGAGGTGCTTGATTTTTGAAAACTCTTGCTGAGTCATTCTGAGATTCTTTTATCCATCCACAAAAAAAGAAGATGTTTGCATAATTAATAATGGTGTTGCTCCAGTGCAGGGCTAAACAAGAATGTATTCTGCTTAGCCCATCTGAAAGCCTAGAAAACTTGACTTTCCTTTAGCGATCCTTGCTCTTGAGCTGCTGACAGTGTGCCAGCTCCCTGCCCCCAGACCTTTAAAATGTCCCTTGTTCATCTAAATGTCAGCAAACATCTTGTTAAACTGTTTGATCACATGTAAATTTGCAAGCGTTTGTACCTGGAGTTTGCCTAAGCATCACTTACTTGAAAGCATAAATATCTCATTCATTTGTCCTGGGAAAAAAATGATACCATATAGAGACATCTGCCTCCTTATATAATGATGCCTATTATGTTCTCCTTAAAGAATTTATTATTGCTTAGTTTTACAATTTTATAAATTTGTAATCCAGAATGACTAATGTAGGAGAACCTCACATCAAAATATTAAAATGTTTCTTTATAGCTAAAATAATTGTAGAGAATATTTATTTACATCACAGGCCTTGACCCCTGATTCATTTTTAAATATTGATATTTATGAAACCCAAGTTTAGAGTAATAAAATACCTACCTTTTAAACTTAATGTATTTCTACCGTTGTCAAGACTGCACACTAAAAATAGCCTTTGCTCTGTCTACAGATAAACATGAATTTGCAAGAAAACAGAAAAAAACAATGCCCGTGAGAGGGGAGTTGAGTGTTTCATCAGAATGTAGCCACATACCTGTACGCCATGTGAACCCAGTCTCCTCAGGAAGATAAAAAGAGATAAACTCCCATCGTAAGATGTGCACTGAAGTCACCTGAGTTCTAGCTGTCCACTGGCCGTGGCCAGCACCACCACCTGCAGCAGGTTCCCATCAGCCCCCAGCTCTCCTTCAGAATGAAGCGACCCAGGAGAGCTGAAGCGAGGGGCACCTTCTATGCCAACTGGTATAGTCTATTTGCTATGGAAGTAATTAAAATATATTTGCCTTGCAGATAATGTCATTTAGAAATGTCAATTTTCTAATTTAGTCAATTTGTGAAAAGCCAGTTGTGATTGTTTTCTGTTATGAAGCCAAGGAATGCATGAATATATTCCCCTCATGTCCCTTGTTAAAAAATAATAGTAATTCAAATGTGTACAAAGTCAAATGGGCTTCCCCCTCTCCCTTGATCTCACCCCCCTCCTCTGTTAACCTGTTAACCAAAGAGTGTGTATGTAGATGGACTCCTATGAAATTGTCTTATCTGTAGGTCAAAAACAGCAAATATTGGCAATTTCATGTGGTTCAAACTTACTACTTTAAGGCTTTTTTAAAATTCTGTTTTGTATTAGTACTGTTGTTCTTCTGAACTCATCCATATACATCTCTGTAAAATATTTTTAAGTGAAGAAGCCTTTGACTTGCACATGTTCTTTTCTTAAAATCTTATACTCTGTGATTTTGTATTGTTGACACTATTACAGATATCCCCTATTTCCTTGTTTTCTGTGATTTTTATATCACATTATTTCATCCATCACCACTGGAGTATGTTCCCAACCCTTGATAATTAGGATGACACTCCATTCAGTCAAAACCTGGGCTGCTGGTTGTTTCCTAAGTAACAAATATAGTGTGAGACACAGAATGGAAAAGTGAGCAGAAGGCAATATTTGCTTCACAACTAAAGTGCTAAAGAAGGTATTTGTTTGTTGGTTGGTTGGTTTGTTTAGAAAAAGATACACACTTCCCCAGGAAAAGAAAAAAAAGCAGCCTGGATTCTGGTCTGGATCGGGCTAATGACCTAAGAGTGTCTGGTTATTCCTTGGTACTAGGTAGTTGGCTGTATGACCCTTGTCTCTAGCATTCCCTGGCTCTGGGGAACAGAGACACCCTTTGTTTGTTTTTTTTTATAGCTGTCAGTGACTCAAGACGTTTTAACTGTCCTTTCACCCCATTCTGACGTGACCCTTCACACATATATAACACTTTACCTTTTCCTCCTAGGCGCTCACTCAGCCATGCGCATTTCTACTCTCTTCCTGCATGCGTGCACGTTCTTATTTTTCATATTTTCTTAAAGTTCTTACAAATTTATGTTTTTTATGGACAGAGCAAGGCTATCATGTCCTAATTTTAGTTCAGTGTCCCAAAGTGTGATCCTGCAACCACTGATGGTACCTGCAATAATTTTGGGTAACATAACAACAAACTTTTAAAAAATGTATATAGTTACATATATGTATGAGAAAAATGATTAATTACTAACAAATTTTCAGTTGCATATATATATTTCTTATAATGATGCCAAGATTAAACAAGTCAGTTGCTTTATGATATTAAGTCAACCATAACAGTGGCACACCAACAATAATTGATGCTTGATAATCACTGATCTAATTCAATCCCTATGTCTCCGGCCCCACACTGTGAAAAACAACCTTTTGAGCCTTTCATCACACCAGTACCTATTTTCTTCTCTTACCTGCTTATCACCCATTGTCATTTCCAGCCCCCCAATGCAGAAAGGCTATACTTGGATACAGAAGTTGCATGGATTTACTCTTAGCACTTTTGGTTCGTTTGCTTGTTTAGGCATTACTTGCTATGTAAGTCTCAAGAGGAGTCCCTGACTTGTTTGTTCAAAAACCATGTATTATTCCCAAACAACATCTGGAAATGATTGTATCCTTCATTTAGGCATCAGCTTTGCCAAAGGGAAATGGAGGGAAAGGAGTGGAGGGAGAAGGGGGTCACCTTATTTCCCACCTAGTGGAACTTGGAGGTCTGGGCCCACTAGTAGGATTCAATTGTGTAACCTCTACACCTACACAAAATCCTTACCCCAGTGCCCTGAACATTTGGCTGGGGAGAGTTTGGAGCTCCCTCAACCTGAATTCCCTCTCTCTGCTTACTAACTCAGTAACTTTCGTCCCATCTTTTAACCACGTGTGTCCTTAGTTTCCTCTTCTATAAAACAGGGATATTCTTAGGGGTAATACCAGTTCATAGAGTTGTTATAAAGATTCAGTTACTTACTGTATTTTGGATGCACTTTCAGTACCAAGCATATAGTGAACTTTTGGTATCTGTTTGGTATTATTATCATCTTGAGTGAGTTAAAAAATCAAACTATTTCCAGACCCTCTAAATACATTTTTGAAAAAGGCTTCTCCTCTTTCAGTTTGGCCTAAATGGTATAACTCTAAGGCACAGTAGCTCCTTCAGAGGTATTCCAGAGAGACGAAGCTGACAGACTGGTTAAGAACGTAGGCTTTACCAACAGAAAACAGTTTTAAGTCTGGTTTTGCCAGTCACCTATTTTTGCCTTAGGCAAATTATGTGCTTAATTCACTCTTGATTTTTGAAACAAATGAAAACTAAATAGGGTTAAATTGAGATTATGTATATAATGTACTTTGCAGGTGTAAGCACATTTAAAAGGGGGTTATTATTAAATGGTATTTTCCTGATGATATATGAGAAAAACCTGTTTATTGTGGGCTATGAGGCAAGAAATTCAGCTTACACAAAAAGCTATAA